ACATCCGCCGCAAAACCACAAGAGAACCTAACGGGACTGAGGGTCAAGACAACAAGCACATAAGCGCGCAAAAAGGACAACGCGGGTCACTCTTGACTGAACTGTTCGACACTCCGCATCTCCGACTGCGCCGCCTCGCCGAGTGTCTTAGCTTCTACTGTTGTGAAAGGAAAATAGTTACTTGTGAAGAACCAATACACATCTGTGCATCTATCATCCCCAAAAAACCGGCCGTACATTACTCTACCGACCGAACACCTTACTGTGTAATTCATTTTTGGAACCTAAATTTCCGCCTCCGGAGTAAGACTTTTCGGACTGAAGCAGAGACCCTCACCAGCAAATCGCCCTCTTAAATATTTCCGGAAAGCCACAACACAGTTCGCTTTAGATATTCGAGAGCTCCTTATTTCATTACGATATCCACACGACCTTCGTAAATGTCTCTCCATCAACTCGAGGAGACACAGAAAATAATTCGTACGGAACTAATCCCAGAGAAAATTCGGCGTGAGTGATGCACGCTTTAAGCAAATTTGCTTCCAAGCAGCAACTTAAACTTCAGGAGCTCAGCAACCTGCGCAAGGCATCCCTTAGCGACATCTGTACGAGCATCATGGGACTCAGACGCGAGCGACTCAGCAGATCATCTAACCAGGCCCAGTGTGAAGCAGCCAGGAGCAAACTGCAAAAATCAACCCTGGCAAACACTTGGCGAGCTTTAGAGTCAAAAGCTTCGCAGTTCCGCAACCACAAAGCTGCCCATGACATCACCGAGAAGCCGGCTGCTCTCAGCACCCCAGTATCCACAGCACCGTTGCCCGAGAGAATCACGGCCAGGCTGGCCAGTGCGCACCATCCCAGGCTGCCGTGAGGGGACCAATCACTGTCCGACCAGCATCCTGCTGCGCTGGAAACGCAATACATTACGTGTCCCGTGAGTACAAGCAATCCTGTTCGGAGAGAAATTCGCACGGGTAAGTCCAATACCTGCATATGTACATCCATGTACTGTACAGCAAATGCCTCTTTTTCTGAAAAATCGATTTCCTGTATATTGCATAAAAAGTAGAATTTCATTACAACAATAAAATACAGCTCAACACAAATGTTCCGGTTTAACCAACTTTTTTTCAAGTCCCAGCAAAAAGCCCAATAAGTACATGTTAAAAACAATTTCATAACAAACCTCCCTATCCAAGTGTAACAAAATTTCAAGAGGAATGTTTAAAAGATTCTTCAGATAAAAAATTCCCTGACTTAGGCAGCCACAGTCTGAAATTTCTGCGCCCATATGTGACTAATAGATTCTTGTAGCATAAATGGAATGACTCTCAGCCATGATGCAGTAATTAAAGAACTGCCATTTAATTGAGCAACAGAATTTATATTTAGCTTTACGTTATACTGTACATACTTGCAATATAAATGTGTTGGGAGCATCGAAAATTCCAGTGAAATCTGCCTATTGGCAGAAGGTAAGAATAGCAGAATGTGACATTCCAACTGTCGCAAATTTCAAGGTACAGTACATGGTTTAATGCTGAATTTCTTAAATGCGTGATTCCCTTGTTTTCAATCTCTTACAAAAAAAAAAATTTTGTGATGCAACCTTTTGTTATGCGGTCTGCTAAATACAACACATTTTTTAACGAGTCCCCAAAAATTTAGTGCACCGAGATTTCACTGTATGACATGGTGCCTATAGAGAAACTGCTCAGACCAAACTGAAATTCGTTATACAGTACAAGATTCGTTGCAACGGAATCTTTCAGTACAATAAATTGTATCTTCATACCAGAGATTCCGCCTGCACGCCACAAGTGAGCCGCAAGGAAAGGCGAGGAAAGCACAGCAGCAATGAAAGGAAAATGGACAAGTGTTCGAGCAGAAGTGGAGATGTTCACCAGGATCCCAACACAGGCTGCCACAGCATTGACACTTGCATAGGCCACTGCCAGCACAGGAGCGCAAAGCTGCAATTCGGCATTTGCCAATAATCGACAGACGCACCACAACTCGCACAACACCAGAAGCCCTTGCTCCAGTGTTCCACCGCTAATTCGAAAAAAAAGAAAAATTAATAACCGGATTCCTTGCATAGAGAAATAATAACTAACCCAGTGATGTTGGATGCGTTTTGTCATTCGAACTTTTTATCAAGAGAAGCACACTGCTACAGTCTGAAATGATATTCTTTACAATCAAAAATAAATTTTGGTACTTTCCTGTCATCTCTGTACCTCATTCCTAGACTGCACTACCATCCAGACAAATCCTTAGGACAAGTTCATAATCATGACAACCTACCAAAAAGTGTGAATTTTATTTTTCCACATTCTGCTGAAACTGATTTTGGGAGGTGGTTAGGTAAAGTTGGGTTAGGTCAGGTTATGATAGTTACAAATATATTTTAATTAACATAACCTGACCTAACCTAACTTCACCTAACTGCCTCACAAAATCATTTTCTGCTTTCTTTGGGTTTCTGCTGAAACTGATTTTGGGAGGGGGTTAGGTAAAGTTAGGTTAGGTCAGGTTAAATTGGTCAGAGGGAAGGTACAGAGATAACAGAAAAGTTGGAATAGAGATAACACAAAATTAGGTATAGAGATAACAGGTAAGTGCCTAAATTTCAATAGCCAAGTATGCTTCCAAGATATTGGCATATAATCCTTAATTTAAACTTACTACTATACAGTAAAACCTCTTCAACTTTAACTTCCAAAGAACCAGCACAAAAATTGGATTTGAGGAAATACATAAAAGAAATAAGAATCCAAAAAAAGTGCATGCAGCGGGTCACCAGGAGCTGCAAGGCCAGCACCCAGCAGCAGCAGGCATGCACAAAGTGAGCCCCACAGCATCCTATCTTGCAAATTTTTTTTCCCCATGTCACCCCGTTTTTGTGAATTTTGGGAATCTGTGCAGGCTCTCCAAGACAGCATGAAGTTTTCTGCTTAAATTACTGCATCCTGCATTTCCTTTATTCATGCAAACAGTTCTCCTGAAGAGCAGCTGAGAGAAAAAGTTGCCTGACAACTTTTTTTATGTGAAAGATTTCATTCAAATGGTTCTTTTGTGACCAGTCTGTGGCACTTGGGACCATGAAAGTACACACTATTTGTTGGAGAATTGAACAAGCTTTCATTTGGGTTTTTTTTTTCATCGCCACAGCTCAATTTGCAACCAATCTATTTCAAGTCCAAGTTTGGTTGAATTTTTTTGGCCCACTCAATGCATGTTTAGATTGAAATGCCATCCTTTTTTAAAATAAATTCGGAATCTGCTGGAGAATATTTTTTTAAAAACATGAATGTTTTCCACGAACTTGGAAGTTTTCCAGCGGGAATGCAAGATAACTAATAATCACAGCATAAATCACGTTTCTTGACTGAAGATGCAATATTCGCCTCATAAAACTGTGCGTGACCCATTTATTGATTCATGCTGTCATTTTCTTTTGAATAAATAAATGTTTCCAATTTATTTTTCGAAAAAATTTGCAGTTATATGCAAAAAATTCATTACTGAAAACCGCATTAAAATGTTACTTCGTTTCACTCAATGAGGAAAATTTATCTCCGCAGGAATTCCAGAAATGTTTCTGCTGCAACCTTTGAAGATACAGTATTTGTGACAATGAATAACTATTCGTTTTTTTAAGCGCAGCAGAACCATAATTTTACTAGCAACGGAAAAGACACAAATGATTTCTCAAGCAGTACAAAATAAACACCTGCTGATAACAAAAGAGCTCGCATCAGTTTCGCAACAAAATCAACTGACCTAAGCTTGATACAAACATGAGCATTCTCATCAACTGGCCTCGGCAACTTCTTGCTTTGAACATGTTTCTGATGCTGCTGGCGAACCTTGACTTGGAATTCCATATCATGCAAGATGGACTGTAGGTCGACGCAATTCTTATCTCCGGCACCCTGCATTTTCTGAAAGGCACAGAGAAGTAAATCGAAACTTGGGGAAAAAGTACGAACTGATGAAAAGAGAGGAAAAGGGCAAAGAAAGAAGGTAGTATAAGGACCCTATAAAAGGCTTTTCTTCAAAATCCGAGCGAAGTTACTCTTCATGCATATCGGGTCACATGACATGAACTGAAATTGTAAAATCACGATTGATTGTTCAGATGACAAAAGTGCTGAGATTATAATTTTAAAAAATGTGGAAACTGTTAAAGATTTCACAAATCCGCGAGATGGCTACTAAAATAGAAAACTTTTCTTAACCTCTAGTTGTTTACTCAATAATCCCAGGCTCTGATTATCACTTGATAGAGTTTTATAGGTTTCACTGAGAGCTGGATGTCTCTTCTCACAGTATCCGCGGCAATTGGGGGAAAACCATGAAATTTCCTGAAAAACCTTTGCTTTTTATGAATAGCATCTTTTGGAAACTGCAAGTAAGATGGTTTTTAATCACATTGCACTGTGCTGGATTGCTATAATGAATTAGCAAGTGTTTTTTTATCATTAAAAGAGGAAAAATTATGGTGCTTCTGTGGTGGGTATAAAATTTTAAAAGTTCAGGTGCACCTCAGACTTGATTCTAATGACAAATTTTGGACAGATTTGAACAAGAAGGAAACAATTGAAAATTACTGATTTCCTGAAGTATAACCAGAGCCTTTCTTAATTTGAAAGGAAGAAAAAAGGATATGTATGCATCATAGGTGGGTGTAATTTTTCAAATCTTTGGTACTTGATTCCAACTGGGAATTCCAGAACTTGGAAGAGGGGAAAGTTAAGAGTAAATTTGCTTAAAATTCGACTCTAAATTTAAATTCTATGAATTTCGTTTCCAAGTCTCAAGGTCTAAAGATTTTATGCATATCTCACCAGGGGATCCATTTATAGCCAAATTCTAGGTGGAAAATACAGGTGAACATTGCACTTGAGACTTGTGAGTGAGTGCTACTCGAATGAATACAGTAATTCAGTTTTGGTTCAACTCAAATAAAAAATAACTCGAATTCTGGTGCTCTTAAAAAATATTATGAGTGTTTCAATGACAAGCACAGAAGTGTTTGTCTTGCTATATATAGCATATGTTTTATTCGAATTATGGGCAGGGAAATTCAGGTATGGATCATACTCCAGGGAATGTGCTACACAAATATTGCAATACATTTATGCGATTTTCTGTGTGAACTGTAATGGTATGCCAGTATGTTTTTCAAAAACATAAATAACGCAAGTGGTGCCACAGACATAATCGAGTCTTTGTAGACAAAAATATTGTACAGGAAATTCTGTTTTGTACCAATTTTGTTGACTTCATGTGGCAATTGAACTTCAAAACTATGCTCCCAACTCTCCAAGTTCAATACCTCTCCCTACGTTAAATTCTTTCAAGCCCATGCCTGAATATCCTTAGAAGCAATGCATTAAAAACTTCTCAACTCAAAGGCTTTTCCTCAAAAAGCTCCGTAACTTGATTTTTCTGGAGACCTTTTGGTTATCCGGTATTATTTTATTGACACCGGAAAGAAGATAACACCAAAATATAACTAATGTGTTCATAAAGCAAGTGAGAAACTAACTATGAAAATCAACCCTTGCCTCCACCTTGAGAATTCTATCAACTTATATTTTCTGCAGTTTGAAGAAAAAAAATATTTAGCTTCCTGCAATTTCTTATACTTATTTCCAACAAAATTAGCTGCTTCCCAAAATCCAAAACCCATGGAGTCACATTTTTGCAGGTCTCAAAGTTTGGTTTTGATAATACGTTAGACTTTTCAAAAATTCTAAACACAATTTAGATTATTTCATTGCAAATTATTAGAAAAAAGTGTTTTTTTTCAGATCAGAACAAAACTGGAATGCAGGCCTTACATGCATGGATAGGTTTTCCTTCAAATCGCACGGTTTCCCCTTCAAAAAATCCAAGTAGCATATATTCCCCAAGAGCGTGTAAATAAGGTGAAGTAAATATTGTAGAGAAAATTCACGAATTTTCTTTGTAGACGCAGAGCTGTAAAAGCAGACGGCTCAACCACAGAGGAAATTAGGCTAGGGTGGAGACAATGGCTCCATCAGGCCAAAATTCCAATGAACAATCTCCAGCTGACCTGAACGGAGTGTTTGTTCACTTGCTGCACATCCTGGTGTCCCTGTATGCTTACAACGAAGTCGTAATACAGCAGCACTATGACCGAAAGCCAGTGTACTTCTTTGCTCATCCATGGTTCCTGCTGGGAATCCTCGTCGACATCCTGGGGATTTTGAGATATTGTAAGCCGTCATTTCTCGAGCAATGCGCCTGCAAAAAAAAAAAAAGACAACTGTAAAAATTTTATTTTCAGCCACGGACAAGTTCAACTTGGCCAAGTTCCAAATGATGAATATCGCCTCGCTTTTTTATTGCACAATCGGAGTTCCTTTTTTGGCGGCACATTATCATCTCATCAACGGCATGCCTTTGAAAGTGGCCTACGCACATTTGTTCCTCGCCATTTTGCCATATGTGTTATTCAGGAGACGGGTGAGTGTCGTTTTCTTTTGGCGAAGTAATTGCTAAAACACTGTATGCATCCCGATGTGGAGATCTTCATACGCGGGGTCTAAGCGCCTAACAAATGTTCTAGGAATATAAATTGAAATGGCACACACATGTATCATCTATAAATGAGTTGAAAAGTGGATATTTTTGATCAAAATTCTGCAGCACAAGAAAAAAAAAGCCGTTTGACATATCTTTCAGAATTCTTCCTGCGGAAGTCATTCCAAGTTTCTATGACTGTTCTCCAGCAAAAACTTATCCATTTCGATTTCTATCCCTAAAGCTTTTGTTATACCCTTGATATACTGTACTGTACATTACTACTGCAGCCAATGCATTCTACGAACATTTCTTGATATTTTCCTACAAGATTTTAAAGAACAAATGATCAAATGGATCAATTAGTTTAGAAGAACAAATCGAAATTTTTATGGCTATGTTACCATCCATTATATAAGACGGATCATCACTCGCATTCATCGAAAGTATACTATCTTCGAGAAACAGCAACAAAATGCCTTTTTGTTGCGTGTATTTGGTTTCCGAGTTGAGTTATGAATTTTGTGTCGGAAATCGCCGCAGATCTAGACGTCCCATGTCGTACGAAAATTATTCACTAAATAAAAGATTGTTCTTGGGATATTCTTTTCATCGTCGGTCTTCCATATCGTGGATGCTGAAGTGCCACAGGTTGAGTACGGATTAAACGGCTTTTATACACTCACTAGCACCAGGATGATTTCTTGCTAGCTATTTCTAGAAGTACACTACCTAACACGAAGAAAACGGAAAAATGAAGAATAACGCAGCTTTTCGCATTAATTTTGAATCGCAGTCTTGAGTTTACAGGGTAAAACGAAAAATTTTTGAAACTCCAACAAAAAAAAACAGATGTCACCGCTCAATTTTCTGAAGCAGGTATAGGCCTTTACAAGCAATCCATTCTCCACATATCACATGAGGAATATGAAAAAGGGTACATAAAATACAAGTGAATACTGTATCTATATACTATCTACATGTGAACAATGTTATAGCTTACGAGCGAATGAACGTACAGTACAGCAGTACTGTATTATATTTAGATGGACAAAAAGCCTGAATGGCTGCCGACGGAACACTTCCGACTCGGAAGAAATTGCATCCATTACTTTATCTGGCATTTCCCCCCCAGAAATACGGACCTTTGTATGAGGTGACGAGGTACACCATCATCCTGGCTTGTGTGTCCGGTCTTTTCGGCGCCCTGGTGTCAATTCATGTCCTAGCCTTTCTCGCCTTCTTCCTCATCTTATACGCCGTGGAACGGATCGGAACAGGCCCGGAGACCCACAAGAATCTATCGATGTACCACTGGTTCATGCTCTACCTGTGCTTGGTCAACGTTTCCATGGCCCTGTCGCAGTCGCCCTTGAACAACATTTACGAAATCACTCCCCAAATCGTCTCAGACACACTCAAGTACACCAGGTATCAGGTTCTCAGGACCCCGCCGGTCACCTTGTTCCGAGGCATGATGGGCAGAGGCAGCGACAACACCAAGGAGACTAAACTCTTGTACGCAGAACTCAAGGACAATGGTTGGGACATGGATGAGCGAGTGAGTCGCCAGGCCAAGCGAGTGGGCTTCAATGAAGACGACGATGATGAGTTGGCAACAGGCAAGGGGAAACACGGGAAGAGTAAAAGGGGTAAAGGGCCCAAGGGGAAGAAGGGAAAGACTGCTGTCATCATGGAGCCCAAGGGAAAGACAGGGATGTCGGAGCCCAACAAGGGGAAGGCAGCCGGCAAAGCCGTGCTCAACCAACATCAGAAGGGCAAAGCCGGCAAGCAGCAGCAGTTGCAAAAGTTGCTTGATGACTACTATGCGGATGAGCAAGAAACCGGAGGATTCTTCTCGTACTTTTTTGGACGATGATTCGAACATAATTACGCCAGTTTTCTTCGTGTTCTCATGATTCACGAATCACTGTTGTGAGAATAAAATGAAAATAAACACGTGCATGCGTGGATTGCCATCTCGCAGGAGTGTACCAATTCATTTGCGCCTGAATTGTATAAGGAGATAACACAGTATTCCTTCTTTTTCTTTTTTCAAACGCACGTCTCTAAATTCGAGTTACCCTTCAATAAAAGTGTACACATGAAGTAACGATTACGAATGTGAGACAATAAACTCACACGTACACCGAATGCAACCTTATAAAGTCTCAGAAGCAGACAGTATACTTCCACATGCTTACGCGTAGTATTTGTTCGAATTCAAACAATTTTGGTTCGTTTTTCCGAAGCGCTCGACTTCCTTTCCTCTCATGAAAATCTGCATTTCTTCGTGAACCTTAATTAGCTATCACTTCCTTTTTTGTGAGTATAAAATTGATGAGCAACACTTATTAACAATAATCATGGGCGATGACGGTGTGTTCACGGTAGTGTCGGCTGAAGAGAAGCTGGACTGCATTATTTTTGGTGTCACCGGAGTCATTGGAAGTCATGTGTTGCTTGAGTTTGGGAAACGTTGTTTTGTAGAAAATAGCTTAGATTTGTCGTTCGGGATTGCTGCTCGAAGTGCTACCGGAATTCAAGATGCCCTCGACAACCTGGCTGAGGCCATTGGTAAAACAAGAATATACTGTATTTCATGAAATTGTGCACCATCAGTGACGAAATTAGCCGCATAATTTATCCTGAGGTAATTTCTGGATTGCGTATCCCCCGACAGATCAAGATGTCGAGATACCTGACTTCGTTGCTGATGTTGAAAACCCAGAATCTATGGAGATCATGGTTAGATCCACGAAAGTTTTAATCAATTGCACTGCTCCAGTGAGTTATTCTTCTTTTTTATTTTCACGGGCAATCTTCGTCGCGAAAGTAATTTATATACTGTATAGCCGAATTTGGAAGGAATAGTTAATGCACGGTGTGAAAGGACGATGCATATTTTGAGTATTGCAGGTTTATGATAAAATCAAATGTTGAAATGCATCAACTATTGACATGAAAAAGTTATGACTAAATAAAACCGAGAATACATTCAACTTTCTGCAATGGCACGCCGTATATAACATAATGCAGCACAATTTGTTCTTTCACGATGCATATTTAGCTCATTTCCTCCTTCAGGGCAAGGTATTGTAGTTAACACTATACATTACTGCACAATATTGTATTACGGCTAGTTTAATCATCAGAATGGCACTGAACACAGAAAATCATTTTTCCAGTACGACAAACTAGCCGAAAAAGTGATCAAGGCGTGCCTTCGAGCAGGGACACATTACCTCGATGTCTGCGGACAGACGAAGGTTGGCATTCTTGTTATAATTAGCCTATTTTTGATAAACTACGATCTCATGTATTAACGCTACTCACAGTTGATCGATGAATTGAGTACAAGGCTCTCATTATTAGCCGAGCAACGTCGAGTTTACGTCGTCAACAGTTGCGGCTTCGATTCAATTCCCGGAGAAGTTGGAATCGCGTACTTACAGCAAAATTTCGGAGGTTCAAGATTTTCAGTTCAACTTAATAGCTCCCGAACAGTACAAAGTCCCAATTTAACCAAACAAAAACGTCTGCAATTTTCTCAGGTGACGTTCTGAGGATAGAGCAGTACTTCAAGCCGATCATCAGCTCTCACGTGCGTCAGCTGAGTTTCTCCAATATACTGTATATACATCTCTCCACCATATAGAGTTGGTTAATTGACGAAAAACACTTCGATTGAAGCACTGTATTTATGGCACACGAAATCTCAACAAAACTTCGCAGGGATACGCGTCGACACTCCAAACATGGAATTCCATGATTGAAGAACTTTCTCGGTATTCACTCCGGGAGATGATGATGAGTGCACTGAGAGGAAATGGCTCCCAACTGGCTCCATCATCCACTCAGGAAGCCGCATCCGTTACGACCCTCGTGTCGCAATTTCCGTTGGTTTCCGGCTGGGCCTTGCCTCTCAGCTTCATTCAAACCAGCTCTTATGCCAGGACGCAAGAATACCTCGCCGACCACGGGATGGTCCCTTTCAAGTGTGTCATCAAGTCACATTTCGTCACTTCGTCCATACCTCGGGCTGTTCTAGCGTTCGCGTGGCTTTTCTTCATCTTCTTCATGACGAGACTTCGGATCACTGTGCACATCTTACGTTGGGTTCGTATGAAAAGCATTTTTCTGAAGAGGGGTTGAAGATCGTGGCCGCTTATAAGAGGTCACGCGGATAGGAAAGCATTGATGAATATGAATACAGTATATGAAAATATTTCGTAAATATCCTCTGAACGCCATCGTAATGTTATCCTTATGGACTTCAGCAGCCCGCCTTGATGCTGACGCACTGTTTTCCTGATGCTTGATTCACATTGTTTCAATTATACATTAAAAATGCAGAACAATTCACGTTCAGTGTATTAACTCCGGGTACACCTGGGAGTACTGCTGATCACCAACCTTCCATTGAAAGAACTCTTTTTCTTTCCGGCAACGCGCGCGTACAAACAGTGCGAACGGGTGCTGGCACTACAAAATGGGGGCATCAGCTATAGTTGGTGAACGTAACGTTCTGGCAACCATCTGTCAATCTATATATAATGCGTTGAAATATAAATGAAGTACTTCAGTTTACCATCTGAAAAGACCGTTCTCAGGAGTCAGGAGATGTGATATAATGTATTGCAGATAACTTCTTTTATTTTGTGCTGCTCTTTAGTTCGCGAACGTTTTTGCTTGCGGAAGGTTTCCATCCAAGGGTCCAACGGAATCGCAGATGAAGAATGCCAAATTTGAGCAATTAATCATTGGCTACGGATCAGTGGATCCAAGAGTGAAGAAATCCCAGCACCTACAAACGCAGAATCCTTTCAGAATCGCCAACAAGATCCGAACCGTCACCATTTCAGGCGATGACCCGATCTTTGGAACAACGGCAATTTGTGTCACTTCTTGTGCTGAAACATTGATCAAAGAGCCTATGAGACTGAGGTAAGATCTTGATTCAGCAAAAAAGTTACCATATATTTTTACACCACTGCAGGCCACTTTCTCAATCACAACGAAATTACACAACACAGAATATTGAAAATATTTTCATCACTATAGGGAAATTTCATAAGCCTTTTACCTCAGCCCATTTTTCTGATTCATGCATTCGCACTACAGGTGGACTCTCTCAACAAATGAATTCAAGGGACCAGAGAAACATAATTGTCAAATTAAGTTCATTGAAGAGAACCCCCACAATATGGAAAGAGATCCCCGGGACTTCAAAAATCTCTATACTGTACAGAACAGGCCATGGTATAAAAAGTCCTGTATATAAGCCTTTTGGAAGAAAGCATTCAGGAATGTTAATATACACAAAACTCCAGTAAACCTTTGTTAAACCTTACTCATTCAACCTATGATTTTTCTGCAGTGTTCTACAATGATTATATTTGCTCTTATGATCTGGCAGCCCACACAGTGGCTGATGAAAAAGGGCACCTGATAAAATTTCTTCATGGTTGGTCAGTTCAACATTTAAGTTTCTTTGAATGAATGGCAAAATGTCTTATATACTCAGATATTTCAGCAGTTCAAGTTATAGAAATATAAATTTGCCTCTGGTCTTGAAAATATGCTAGGATCTACATTATTCAAGGTTTTAGACTAAACTGAGCCATATGTCTATAGGCTGATCACAAACACTGCGATTACAGTACATTTAAAACATGCCACTTCACTTTTTTTCAGTCGACCTGGACTCCTTCCACCTGGCATTGTTTTCCGGAACTCCAATCTTATGGAAAGGCTTCAGAAGCAAGGAATTACCATAAGCTTGCAAGATTTGACCCCCAATTCAAGATCTGTGCCATTGGCTCACATCAAGACCAAATAGTCCCAATTAACCCAGGAAATAACCTTTCTTTTCAAAGTTCATCATGTAATCTCAGAAATGGGAGGAATGCATGATGGTATGCCTTCATACCCTTGGCGAAAAATTGTTCCTCTTACTCCTCAAGTATTTATGATGAAATCTGTTTGAACTGGTTATTTTAAAGCACTGTGTACTTGAGAAAATTCAGGGATTGGATTGTCTTTCCCAAGTAATGTTCACCTTGTATTTTAATAGTGGCATTGAATCATAATTATTCACATTTGTTTTCTTAGGCCGGGTATCTATGCATATCTAATACAGATTGCAGCAGCTGTTGTGCATGGCTTGATAAGTTTTACTGCTTCTCATCCTTCAACAATTCCTGATTTCTCTATGGAAAAAAATTATTGTGAGATGAATTCTTTCACTTGCTGCTGCATACTGTGAGTCCATGCATATTACTGCATTAAATTACAGCAATACACCCTTAATAAATGTGTTTATTTGGCATCAAGTATTTTTGCTGAGTTACTTTTCTGGTGGACCTTTCAAAGAAGTACTACATGAGCCACAACCACTCAAGATAAAATAACGTAACATTTCCTATTTTAGTCCCCTTTGGATGGCACATAGAATAGAGCAGGGCTTTTCAACCTTTTTGAAGCTTGCACCCCTTTTTTAACCCCAGGACAGTTGCATACCCCCAGAGTGACTTGAAATGTAAGTTTCATTATATAATAATCATCATCTCATGGAATTCCCTTCTAACTATAGTACCTTAACATCAAATCTTATGCAAGTTTCTGCGGTTCAGAGATAATATTCATAAACACAGAAAGTTGAAGCCTTGGAGAAATGGGAATACAGTGTGCTGTTGGTTTTGAACTACTGTATTTGAAATCTTGACATTTTTATGTGTTCTGTAAAATTGCTATTTCCGCCACAAAACCAAAGCAAAGCAAGGAGATTTTTTGGTAATTGACTTGTACTAGCTCAATTGCAGATTGAACAGTTTAAGTCAATCACAATTTTTTATAAACTCAAAATTTTCATTCTGAAAGGATTATATCCAAGACAGAGACAAATTGATGAGATCAACAAAACTATACAAATTCAATGTAACAATAAGCTGAATTGTCAGTCTGTCTCCAGTTAAGAAGACTATGGTGTGTTATTCATGCATACAGTATTTTCTGGTGACTTCAATTGGTGCATGAGAGATGATTTTTATATAGAGGGCCCAAACAGAATATATACACACCACCACACATGAACTCAGAACAATCATAAAGCACAAATCTCCCAAAGAATCATTGAAGTTTTATCCCAGGATAGAAAACACAAGTTTCTTTGTTCAAGCCTGTTTTCTGAACTCAAAATCTTCTGTGTGATCAGACAAACTGCCTTAAAAAATAAGAACCTGCGAAATGCATTATAGATAATTATGACCAAGATTTTAAGCTACATTTTCTGAAAATAATCATTTTAAAATGCATTTAATATCATATATTGCCTATTGATAATAAAACTAAATTGATGGAAGACAATCCAGTAATACCAACTCTAATATACTTACCAGTACCAAAAAAGGAATGCAAGGAAATTTAATAAAATCACTTTTTACATCAATTAATTGAAATAATGGTCATTTCTTTAGTAAACAGAATGCTACCAGTAATCTTTCAATATTACTGGTCACTAGGATGTCGTAAATTTTCTAAAAAAGCAAGAAAATAATGTTTCTCTTGTCAACATTTTGATGCAAAGCCTTATCAGGTGTTGGACCAGTGTTTGACAAAGGGTGAGCGTAAAAGAAAACACAGTAATCAGCCTTTAGGAGGTTGGATCCTCCTTATAGGAGTCATTTAACACCTATGTTTACTTCCACAAACAGAATACCAAAAAAAAAACAAGCAGAAGATTCAATTCCTAGCACAAGATTTTAACACACACAGAAAATAAGGGAATACCAAACTCCATCACACACTAGCAAATCCTGAGAAGGTCCTTGATGTAGGAGGCAAAGCTGGCAAGTGTCTGTTCTTACACCTTGCTGGCTTTGCCAAAGAGTTGGCTGGAAACAGCAGAAGATTAGCTGAACTGGTTGGGATCCTGTGGTTTGCCATTCTCAAAGTCAACTAGGTCCGCAGCAGGGACTTCCTCTGCGCATGCCTTGGGCTTGCTACATGATTTTTCCTCTTGCAAAGACACTATAAACTGGAGACTAACAGAGTAGCCAGGCGCAACCCCACAAAATCCCCCTCCCTTTGGGCCTGGTTGGCTGCAAGGCTGGGCAGGGCTCAAAGAACCCCTAACCGGGGTTGCACAGATGTTTAATGCACTGGCAGGTGGTCTGCCATTTTGTGCATGCATCAACTGGCCAAGGTGGCATCCTTGACAAGCACACGTGCCAGGAAAATGGCCGTGCATGTGAGTACCATGCCAGCCCTGAAAGAAGGGAAGAGAGGATCACTTCAACATGCTAGTTTGTGTTGGTCAGGGGCCTCCAGCCTCCTAATCTGATCCAAGTGCCTGTTTGAAAAAAATACTTCACATCTCAAAAGTTTTTGTCCTTTGCCAAGTGTTTGTCTCCCTTTCCATTCCCAAGTTTGCTATCCTTGTTTGCATACTGTGGTCTTTGTTTTTTGGCAATCAATTGTTCCTCTGCTTTGGGTACCCTGTTGGCCATTGCTGCAGTAGGTGCACACCTGAGAAATTGTAAAGTAACTAGTGAGTGCACCTAGGCCTTACCACTTGTACACATGGCACCAAGTGTGACCAATGGGTTGTCAACTGCAGAAACAGGCATCTTCACATTGCGGGGACATTCAGGCAATAGATGCTCAACCCAGCATTGAATTTTAGGCCACCAGCTTCTAAAAGTGTGACACCAGGCCCCCCGCCATTTTTTAAGGGGCACCCCTGGCAACCACTCTTGGATTCCCAGCACATGGCATTGGCATGTCCAACTTAAAGTTGGATGAGCATAGGTAGAATGTGACCCATCTTGGTGGTTGTTCCCACTCTCCAGAACCAATCTCTGGGTTGCTTGTTTCCTTCCCACAGATTGCGCCAGTGTGCAGAATAACATTGAAGATCAAAATACCAAAAGAACAACCAACATCTCAAATCAGTGCTTACAGAATTGGCCATAATTGTGCTCTCAAACAATTTTTGCGCAGTTCCTGCAAGACTAGTTTGTGCCACCCAGCTGTCCAGGAGGACATTGCAGCAGCTTCTCAGCTGGAGACTGTCACCTTTCATTTGGCCCTGCCAATTTCTGACAGAATGAGCTCCCCTTGTAAATGTGAGCCAAGCAGGGATCCTGAGACTTCCCAGAAGCACCAGTGGACAGACAACAACATTGTTGAGATACCTATTACTGGTGAGTTGTCCTGAGCCTGCTTTTGAGACCCTTGTACTCTACCTTTCCTCCCTTGCTGTGCTTTCCATGAGGATGCCAATTCTACTGCTGCCCTTTCTGAGGCTGTGCGGGCGCCTCCATCAGGGCTGAAGCTTCTTTTTCCATTATTCTGCAGCTTCCAGCCTCAGTTGAAGCAAGCGCTGCTGCTTTGACATGCCTTACTGTGGATGGTTGGCACCAATTGATGTATCTGCTCCCTTTTGCAGCATCCACCAAGAAAGCTGCCATGCAATGTCAAGCTTTGGAGACCTGAGTTTTTTTTTGGAGAATGTAGCCACAGAAGCAGCTCATTCATGCTTGGCAACTGTCCAAGCATCAGTACAGGAGGTGGCTTTGGCCATACAGGTGGCTGAGGCTGTTGGCCGCCAGCTTTGAGCTGTCAAGTCCAATATGACCAACCTCAAGCACAAGTTGACTTGGCAGTTGGCCAGTCAATTTTGTCTGCCTACACAGTTGACCCTGGAGGCATTGAATCATGCCTTCCCTGTGGGTGGTCAATTTTTCCTTGATGTCAAGGATGTTTCTCTCTGCCAGGATGGTATGTTGTCCTTGGTTAGTTCGTGTTGCTCTGTCTCATTGCTTCTTGCCTTTGTAGGTCCTTTGACCACTGCTTATTCTGGGACAAATCCCGGTCTGGAGTTTGTTTAGGAGATTGCAGCTGATGCTGTGACCACATGGTATGAGTCCCTTTGTCCACTGTTGGATGCCCTTCCTGCTGCTATGGAGGAGGCTGCTGCTGCTACTTTGGTGGTGGCTTCTGATGTTCCTCCTGTTGCTGCTGTTCCTGCACCAAGTTGCATGTCAAGCGCTCCTGAGGTGGCTTTCCTGCAGCTAGCCTACTTTGCATTCTGCAACTGCTGACCCTGCCTTTGACAATGTGTGGCGACAATATGGATGTGGCAATGGTTGATGTCCCAACAGGTATGTCTTGAATCTCCAGATGCCAATCTCCAATCTGGCATTATGCCTTTCTTGTGCAGTTGCTGATGTCCCAGATGCAGGCGTTTTGGAAGTCTTATTGGAAGAGTCCTGGCAATTTGAGCTGGAGGAACCAATCTTGTACCTTGCAAATGTTTGTGCTCAACACTGCACTGTTGGCAACCAGGCTTGGTTCATATGCAATCCCCAGATTCCAATGCCTGGATGTGCCTTGTCAGATTATTGGTTCCAATTTGCACCAGCGCATTTGCCTGCCATCCTGCATGGGTACAACAGTGCTGGGCATTGTTGAGTCCTGGTCATTGGAGATTCTTTGATCTTGATGTTCTGGATCACCTGTGATTTAAATTGCTTCTTTTGGCATCTGACTGCCCAGTTGGGAACTCTGCAACCCATCTTTGACCATTTGTATCTTTCAGAGGACTTGCCCTTTAAGATTTTCCAAGTTTTCTTATTGCAGGAGCCATGGCTATGGAAGTCACAGATCATTGCCTCTCTGCCCCAGTTGCAGACTCATCCCAGACCTGCATATAGGCTCTGTTAATGGATCCCTGGCCCCTACTGGGGCTGTGGGAAATGCCACTCCCAAAACTTCGGATCACAACCAAACAATATAATAGGCATCACACACACATTCTTCACTAGTTATTTCATAATGACAACTTGTGAATAAAACCCATTCCAAAAAAACAATACTGTACTACAGTATGACAATTAACAACAATCTCAATTCAAAAAATCCACAAAAATCCCTGGCCTCTCTTATCTCAAGCTGGCCACTCCAGATCAGAAATGTTCTCGGGAACACTTCTTTCCCTCTCCAATTTTTGCACTTTTGCTCTCATAGAAGTGATCTTAACCCACATCCCTCATGAGTATAAGTTAAACTCCTTCTTGATAAAGAAAATTCATATAAGCTTCACATCCCTCAGATTAGGCAAACTTCCAGCGCATGACCTACTACCTCTTACTTTGAGACAGCGACACCTAGTTAACATTAGGCGTCAAAAGTTCCGAGGTTTTTTTTGTGTAAGAAATAGAGGTCGCATGAACTTCAAACCTTGTACAGTATTTTACATCTCCCACAGACTACTGTGCTACATTTAAATTAGATTAAAATTGACGCGAATTTCCCATCGGGCAATATTTCCTCCTGTTTGCCATTTTACCACGTTTTTATGAACTCACTTTCTTGTCTGTCTGTTTGTCTGGATCAAATTTTGAAACTCAAATTTCACTCACTTCCCCACTAGCTATCAAGCTGAAACTTTCAGGATAGCCTAGAAACTGATGACAATGCAATCTTATGTGAAAAAATTAATTTTAAGAATATTTTTTAAAAAGAATAAAATAATTATAGTAGATTTCTATAATAAAACTTTGAGCAGGTTTTCCTTGGCCCCAAGAAAAAAACCCATGGTGAACTGAATTGGTCGCAGAGGTCCGAGTTCAATCCCACCCCCTGGAACATTTTTTTTTCTAATTAATTAACACGTTTTTATTAACTCACTTTCTTGTCTGTTTGTTTGTCCGGATCAAATTTTGAAACTCAAATTTCACTCACTTCCCGACTAGCTATCAAGCTGAAACTTTCAGGATAGCCTAGAAACTGATGACAATGCAATCTTTTGTGAAAAAATTAATTTTAAGAATATTTTTTAAAAAGAATAAAATAATTATAGTAGATTTCTATAATAAAACTTTGAGCAGGTTTTCCTTGGCCCCAAGAAAAAAACCCATGGTGAACTGAATTGGTCGCAGAGGTCCGAGTTCAATCCCACCCCCTGGAACATTTTTTTTTCTAATTAATTAACACGTTTTTATTAACTCACTTTCTTGTCTGTTTGTTTGTCCGGATCAAATTTTGAAACTCAAATTTCACTCACTTCCCGACTAGCTATCAAGCTGAAACTTTCAGGATAGCCTAGAAACTGATGACAATGCAATCTTTTGTGAAAAAATTAATTTTAAGAATATTTTTTAAAAAGAATAAAATAATTATAGTAGATTAAAAAATTAATCTAAAAAACCACGTTTTCAAAAAGCAAAAAATAACCTTAAACGTGGTGCGCATGGAGATTGTTGGGAAGAAGTGAAATACAAATGAAATAGATGCGCACCACATTTAAGGTTATTTTTTGCTTTTTGAAAACGTGGTTTTTTAGATTAATTTTTTAATCTACTATAATTATTCCCTTCAATGAATAGACACGCTCCTCCAGCAATCTTCCGCAATTGGATGCTTTTTTTTGCACTGAAGTTTTGCTTGTAATTCTTGCCATTTCATTATTTGTCAATTTTTGTGATTTGAATCATCTTTTTTATGGGTGTTTGCAAACCCTTTCCCTTTAATAAATCTATCTTTTCCTCCGGGGTTTTTATGGAAAAACTCCCTCCCGTTTTCCCTGGCGGATTACGAGTTTTATTCCTATTTTATTTGAATTTTTAATCCTAACTTTTTCTTCTTTGTGGCCTGTGTGTCACAAATAACAGTACCAAAGAAAAACCGTCAAGCATGTTTGGGAAAGCATTTGGAGAAGAAGCATTCAGGATTTAAAAAAAAAATACCAACAGTAAAAAGGGCTGCATAACAAAATCCGAACATCATCCAGACCAAAATTACTCAGATGTGAAGTTCCGGACCATGCGCCCATGAGAAAAGACAGGCACTAAATGCATACAGAATTAAAATGTTCACAGATTCATGAAATATCCGGAAAAATAAGGGCCACAAATCATAGTTCAGTTAAAAAAAACCCTGCCTCTTTGGCAGGGATTTCTCATTGAAACATGCTGTTTTAATTCATATTGACCTTCTAAAAATCAAATCCATGAAATTCTGTCGAAAATATATAGCTCGGCATGCAACGAGGAAGGTCTAGCTTTTTGAACCTTAAAAACTTGAAAACACCTGCATACAAATTTGATGAAGTAGGTTAGGATTTTGATTGAATAAATACTGTATATCCTCTCGCATGGACTCATTGAGGCTGCGACTTCATTTGCGGAGAACTGTGAAAAAAAAACTCTTCGCGAAAGAAAATGCAGAATTGGGGTGAAACAAGTTCCCATTTACGTCGGTATGAATTGGGGTGAAACAAGTTCCCATTTACGGTATGAATTTTGCACTACCTGACTCATGCTATAGTACTGAGTGCTGCTTCTTGCTGTTTAATTTTATGGTTGATATCGGGTTTGCCCATGCTGCAATGCACTATAGTTATCCCCATGTGTAATGCAATATTCAACCTTTCATACAGGTGAAATCTCAATCCTTCTATAAATGCATTCGAACAAGGTTTATATATCCAGACGGACAGTTACAACGAAATATTTTTTCGGTCCCTGCACAATAAGAATACTGTTGAATGAATTCATTTTCAACCATTTTTTTTTAATGACCGAGCTATTTTACTGGCCCAATGGCTTAACTGTATACACAGATGTTTTCACTGTTGAGTATTTAAAATCAGGAGTTTCCTGTTCGAATGTATATCCGCGGTTGATGATCAGTTTTTAAAACGCAATTTATGCGTTTTTCCTGTCGCTGGGTTTCATCCTATTGTATTTTCTTCTCCTTCACCCTGTCAATAATACGGATGTCCAAAGGAGCTGCGGAATTCCGAGAGAATGAAAAAGGAGCTTTGTTGAAAAAAAAAATATTGTTGGAGTGTAAATGTAGGAAGGGAAATATTAGTGGAGAAGGAAAAAAAAAAAAGGTTCGCCATGTTGCTCCCAGCTGAAGGCATGTGTGTGATGATCCTGAGCTGAGGTCGCAGTCGGCTTAGCCTTGTGGTTCTAGAAGGAGCTTGGCATGCTCCTTGGTTCTTGGGAGTGGATACTGTGGCCATTTGTATCATAGCACTAACGTGGGTGTATTTTGAGAGAGAGAGAGAGAGAGAGAGAAGCTGGTCATACTTTTGTGTCCTATTGGTAATATTTTGTAAATATCTTTTTGGGTGCGCGCAATTTCATCACTTCTGTTAATAGTTTCAAAAGTTGGTCAAATGACTCAGATTTTCTTTTTTTCTTGCATTTGAAGAAGAATTTGAGCCCTTGATTTTCAAATTGTGGCAGCTGAGAGTTTAATTGCTCCAATAGTTGGAGGGTATTTCCAAATCTCCCCCCCCCCACTCTCCCTCTCTCTCTTGACCAAGTGACTCTGTTCTTCAATGCTTTACATGTGTGTGAGTATGTTCAAAAGAGTATCAAATCATTGATTTTTCTGCAGCATTAAGGGCCATTCCAATCACGGCCAGTAGATTACATAAGGCAGCAATGCAGGATGACTTGGTCACTTCTGTCCCCACTTGGAAAGCCTTTGGTGGCTTCAAAAATTGTCTGGAAGTGATTTTGTGGTGCTTGAAATGTATTATTATTTTTTACTTCTGATGCATCATTAAGTTGTGAATATTTGTGCTTGAAAAGATCTTTATATAACCCATTCCCTTATGCTGGCCTCATTTGACATTTTAACACTAGGTTTCATACAGTTTTTGCAGGAGAGATGCTTTGTTGACCACCCTCCTCCTCCCAAAAATCCATTTCTCTTTGTCCTTCCTTGCATTCTGGAAAAGGGGCACATCTTCTGCCCCGGCTATTTTGTACTGTGCGCCATACTGATCATATTTCAGGCTAATTTTGTATCATGAATCAGACTGGTTTTTTGTATCCAGGAATCAGGGCGAATTCCTGTTTACCTCATGATGAGAAAAAAATTCTAAAGCTTGATAGTGTCAAAAGTAAAAGAAGCCATGAATTCAATATTATTTCATCTTTTTGTGTTTCTTTTGAAAATTCAAAGTGCAAAACTTAGTCACGTGGGCCCAAAGCTGAAGATCACAATGTGCGCAGTCAAAATTGTACTGAAGTAAAAAAAAATGTTTTCATGTAAATTTCTGTTGGGTGATTTTTGGGGGAATTTAGAAATTTACAAGTTGCTGGATTTTATTTCCATGGGCATTTTTTTCATGGAGCCTCTTACTGCATGCTTATATACATGAACAATGCATGTGTTTGTAGATGATGTCACAAAGATACTTATTCAAGATATTTCAGAAAATTAATTCATTTCAATTCCTCTGCCCCAGCTAAATTTTTGAGCAGAATTATTATTTTCAAATGTTGAGCCCATAAATTTTTCACCCATCACATCATGCTTGAGATAATTTTATTCTAACCTCAACTGTTGCACAAATTATGTTGTAAAAATATTTTTTATTGAATTGTCCCAAATAATCCATATATTTACTCAAGTATCATGCACACCTTATTGCTTCTGCAAAATCAAGGTAGAAAACTAGGGTGTGCATTTGTATGTGGGTATACTTTTTCTGGAGGAAAAAATAGTGATGGGATACTAAAATACTGCAACTTATTACATTTATGTATGTCATCCTTTTTTTCAACGTGCAAAACTGGGGTGAAAATATTTGCTGGTATAGATTTTTTTTCAAATTATATTCCAAAAAACTGTCGCCTGCATCAAATATTATAGGTATAATTTTTGCAAAATGTTTCTTGCAATAAAAGTTCCAAGGAAGAATGGAACACGTTTTCATTACTGAAAATGCATATCATTGAGAGAAAAAAATTAGTCTTCTTTTTGAAGAACTGTTGCATATATTCTCCAATTTGCCACCCTTTTTAAAAAGTCTAAAACACCAAAATAACCATCATATGTTTTGGGAAACATGTGTGCATGGGACTCCTTATCAAATAGGGCACTATACAATTAAATCTCAATAACTAATCTTCAAAGTCATAGAATACCTCCTTTTCCAAATTTGTTCAAGCTCCTATCTGACCTTGCTTAGAATTGCTGCATTAATAACCCACCATTTCAAAACCTCTGTAACCCAAAATGTATTCCTGGACCCTTAAAGTTTGACTTGAGAATGTTTGACTGACAGTAAAAATTAAAATTATTCTTTAATTTAAACCAGAATTAAAATGTAATGCTGAAAAGCAGTTGCTTTTTAGAAGGTATTCCTGGTATTTTTATTCCTTACAGGTGCTGCTTTTGTACATTTTGGAGTCAATTTGTTCATAGGCAGCATCTTAGATTGACAGAAAAAATGTTTTGAGTTTATGCCTTTACTATTTTTGTAACATTTTATTTTGTGTTTTTACTTATTCTTAGGTTCTTTAAAATTTTATTTTAATTTGTATGCCCCAAATAAAAAATGCACATTTTATCCTTATGCAAAAAAATTAGGCCCTTTTTTGGTGCAGAATCATACCAAATTGTTTTTTTTAATCAAGCCCTGCTGTGGAGTAACCCCAGCCAAAAGATAACTCAGACCTCGATTTATTTCCCTGGAGGCACTGGATCAACGTTTGCACCCAGGTTATTTTTTTTCCACTGTGACCCCTCCAGGCTCCGTTTGGCCTCATTCCTGGCAGGTCAGTTTTTCCTGGTCATTCTGTTTGCCTCTGACAGCTTAACCCAAAAGAATGGAACAGCGAGCTTCTTTTTTTTTTCTTCAATGTGCATGTGGGTGCTGATGAATGACTTCACATGTGCCTGGAGGGTTTGGGTTTCCACTCTAAGTCCTGCTGGGTCCAAGTTCAACGTCTTCTGGGTTTATGCCATAACTGTGCTTTGGAAATGGGGAGGGTTTCCGTCTTCATCTTTTCCTCCAGCGGTTTTTCTCTTTAAATATAGATTTTCTTTAAAAGGTAGCGGGAGATTCTGAGTACCACTGTATTTACAGTATTAAAGTTCAGGCGAATTTAAACGGAAGGTGCCATAATTGAGAAGCTCTCAATTTATTTCTTGAATCAATTTCAAAATCTATCTTGCAAAATTTTGGCCTGAAATTTTTATGAGCGGATATCTTCTACATGCGGAAGTGATTTACAGTGCTGATTGTCTTGACATAAATTGAGTTCAAATCTGGAAGACAAGTCAAGGGGAAACACAAACTAAGGAAATGCCACAACTGTAAGTTAAAATGAATCCTGCTGGAGCAAGAACAAGTGCATATTGAAATTAATCATTCATTGCAAAACGTTTAAAGAGCCTTATAGTTTTGTCAACTGAGGCAAACCTGATCAACATCTGGATTATTGCAGTACAGGATAAAGACCACATTTCCTCATATATTTTAGATTTGAGTTTTATACCTACAGCCTTGATTTTTCAAGAAATAAATAGCTTCTGAAAAACTCCCAGGGGGTTCACTTTTATTTTTGAAACACAGTTTAGGCTACTTATTCCACCAAAATTTCAATTTTTTGCGACATATGAAGTTGACCCCTGGAAATAAAAATAAGAAATCAGTACGAGCTTAAAATTTCGTAAATGATGTACTGTACTTCAGAAACCTACTCAAACAGAGGCAAGGGGGTTCAGTTTTTGACCATTCATTGGTGGGTTAATTTTTCATATGTCCACATAAATGTGCAAATGGAGGACATTTGGGATAGTTCAGTTCAGAATATTGGAATGTACACAGTTAATCACGTTTTCTACCATGAAGGTTCTCCCCAAAATTATTTCCTGCTGGTCCCTTGAATTTTGCTGTGAAGGGAGTCCACCTGTATATTATGGATTGCCTTTTATGTACAAATCTAATACAATACAGTGATAAAAAATCTTCTTTTAGATTTGGGAAGGATACATATTGTATTCTATTGCACTTGAACCAGAAACAGCACAGTCTCACTTTGTACAAATTTCTGAAAACAAAAGTTCATTAATTATCTGAATACCTCATACAGTGGACCACAATCAACAATAAACCGTGGCAGCAACCAATTTCCTCTACAAGTAAAGCACAGCTTTGGTCTGAAATAACCTATTTATTATATTGTGAGTTGCCCAAGAAAATCTATGTATGATTCCAGACAAAATGGTGTTGTGATGTACTATACTGATTGACTGTAGTCCAGCAAGAAAAGACCTGATGTGTGTATTGGTGCGGTACAAATGATTTTTGTTTTTGCTTTCTAGTGACCAAAAGAATGATGCTGTTCTGGCCAGTGATTTTTGGAATATCCTCCTTAATGATTGTGAGGTGCCATGTGATTGAGCAAATCGCACCAGTATTGGAACAGGAACAAATGCCAGTCACAAATGATCAGGTTATTGGTAAGTGCTGTTACTCCATTTTTACTCTTAGTCCATGGCGGAATGGAAATTCCAAGTCAACAAATTCAAATTTCAGGGTCATCTAATGATATGCACAAATTTTAAGCAGATTCTGAAAATCAAAGGAGAAAGTATTGTTTAGTCTTCCATGGTGCCAGGTTCCTGACAGATGGCGCTGGGCAACTGAATGCCCAGCACACAATTCAAGCATCAGGTGCAGTGGGTGTTAGTCAGGAAATCCCTGATGCTACTGCAACTGGTCTGCCACAGTGTGGCAAACTGGTGGCAAACATAATTAGGACATAATCTCAAGGGTTTCAGGGCATTCTCATTCAACAGTCCAAGGGAAGAACTTCTCTTAGGCTCTTGTGTGTTTACTGTCAATGTGCGCATGTTCAATTGCCTTGTTCATGTTATGCAAATTTCCAAACCCTGCTGCTGCCCATCAATGCTTGTTCTTTGCCTGAGCAATAAAGTAGGTTCATTAGGTCTAATTTATAGGACCCAGCTGAATAATGGCTGAATGCTGTGTGTCTTTATTTCATTCCTTCTTTTCCCTTTGTTGACACAGCTTGAAACATGGTAAATTCCTTGCAAAATTGTCTTCATTTCATAATTTTGAAAATACAGTACTGTAACTGATACATATAAATAAAGCAAAGTTGCAAACACTGCATGTCTTTAAGTTAGTCACTCGTACATTCAATTCCCAACTGCTTGGTTTAAAAGACAACCCAATGAGTTTCGATTTAGATTTAAAACATGGCAATGAACTCTAGCAGTTCTCGAAAAATGATTTTTTTTACCTTTGAGTTTCAAGTGACAATTTTTCTGTGAAAAATGCACTGCCAAAAACATAACATGCAAGAAACAAAATTCGACAGCAGTCAAGGCATCTTTCAGCAATGGATAGGTTATTTTTCCATAACAAAAAAAGCTGAGGAATATTTCCCTTGTTATTCAGACTACATTAAATGAATTTAGAAATTTTTTAATATCAACTGAAAAAGTAGCCAAAAATGTTGAGCTCTATAGTACAGCATGTTAGCTGCCAAATAAAACTTACATTAATTTGAGAGTGAAAAAAAAGGTTTTTGTTTGATTTGTGAAAATTGAAACCCCATTTTAAATCTTCTATCAACAGTGTTATAATGTACTGTACAGGAACTTATGTTGATGTCAATGTCCATCACTGACAATTTTGATATAATTTCATTTCAATAGCCCAAGATAATACAGGTATCTAAAAAAATTATTGGATTCTTCTCAGATGTGAACCCAATACGAGATGGAAGAAATTTGGCTCTGCTGGTTGTCAGCATCACAAGAACTTACAGAGTGACCAGTGTGACAACTACTCCAGTCACATCTATTGCAAAGTGCTACAGACCCACAACAATTGCCATTTGTTCCAAGAGGAAACGGGACATTCTGGTCATTTCTGGTCCAGAAGGAGCTGAAGAGTATGTAATTTCACACTCTGAATTTTTAATCAAATGCAGTAGCAAAGAATGCTTTGATAATGCAGGGCATATAGATAATACTGTCTACCAAAAATCATTTTATTACAATAGCTGGTTCTGAAACACACCAGGATGGTTTGAATTATAGAAAAATTGTCAAAGCACTGTTAATTAAATGGTGCCAATCATTTTTTCACCTGGAAACAAATTTTCTGGGGCATTTTGATAATAAATTTTAAACTAAGATGATCATTGAAGTAAAATGGGTCAACTGCAAAATTTAAAAGTTAAAATTACCACCATATCTCCAGTAAAAGCAAAGCAAATTTGGAAGATTGTACTGTTTCTGCAAAGGAATAGGACTGAACATAATTGGTAAAACCTTTGTAACAATAGTGGCAATAAAATTGTTTATGTTACCATAACTATTCAAATGCATTTGCATATCTTTTTCAAAATGAGGAGCAAAAAAGTTGGGTGAGAATATGAGAATAGGTTTTGAAAATTCTCATGATTTTATGAAATTGCATGCACATCATTATAGAATCACTTGGGATAATTTTAACTAATGTACTGAAGTCATAATGAATTGGAAAAGTAATGGATTTCTGGTTAAATTTTGGTATGTACTAAATTTGCAATTTAATTCATTGTGGTATTATTGAAATTTTCATGATTTTATGAAATTGCAAGCACATCCTTATATAGAATCACTTGCGATGATTTCAACCAATGTACTGAAGTCCTAATGAATTCGAAAAGTAATCGATTTCTGGTTAAATTTCGGTATGTACTAAATTTGCAATTTAATTCATTGTGGTATTATTGAAATTTTCAGGGACATGAAAATTGGGTGTGCATCTTACAAACTCCTTTAAACATAAAAAATGAGGCATGCATCTTATTTGAGTTTGCATGGTACTTGAGCTCATAATTAAGTACTTTCAGATTGAAGTATTCCATTTTCAATTTACCATTTAGTTAATTCTGTGAGTATTCCAATTTTTATGGGCTTGGAAATTGGAAGTGCATCTTACATTTTTTCAAACTTCAAGAATGACAACTGAGGTGCTTGTACTATAATTTGAGTATGCAGGATTCTTGAGTTAATGCCACACTTTCAGGCTGAATTACTGATTTTTATTTGACAAATCAGGGCATTAAAATACTAAACCATAGTTTAAAAAAGCACCTTTGTTATATTTTTTAAATAATGCATTTGGATTGGAAATAAAGAAATGGAATTTATCTATCAATGATAATAAAAATAGTTCTTTATTATTTTTCCAGGGAAATGGACGCATATTTCAAGCAGTTACAACTGCAACCAGGAGAAGCCATGGAGGTTGTGCCAGTGGACCTTGCTGATGAACCTGTGGAATTGTCAAGTTCAGTTGACCTGGTTGGGGAAGTGTCTTCATCTGTATATGACACTCATGGATTTGACTTGGATTTGGCAAATGTGCGACACAGACGCTTGTTCAGACCTCAGAGCTTTGTTTCTTCCACCACTTTGACAACAACATCAACTTTCACTTCAACCTTCTGGGGCTCAACAATTGAAACCATTGCTTATGTGAATTGCAGAGCACCTAGAGATCCTATTGCTCCTGCTTGCAGTGGACCTTAAGTCTTCTCACTTTTTTCATGGCTGTATTATTATTATTAGATCAGTTGCTCAAAATGGTTCCTTGAATCAGCAATTCTTTGGAGTTGATTATGGTGGTTGCTTTGGGACCACATCCAAGTTCAAGACAGCTTTTTGACCAGCATTGATTGTATTGAATGATTCAAGATTCAGTCTGGAGATTTCACCAGACTCTTGAAAACAGTGAAATGAAAGGGAAACTTGTGATATTTTGAAGCAGTGTATACCAGACCAATGTAATTCAAATCTTTAAAAAAAATATACAGACAATGAATATACAGTATCAATTAAAATATGAAATTTTCTGAATATTCACAAAACTTCAAGACCAGTTTTCTTACAGCTATAGAACTAAGAAAATGTTCATACATGTGTGAGTTTAACCAGGTTCTGTCCAAACCAGTTTCTCTGTGTGCTTTGAACACAATCACCAATTGACTAATTGTGACTACAGAATACTTCCACATTTCTAGCAAGACTGCTTGGAATATTTAAGGGAAAAATCACTGTTGTATCAGCATTCACTGATGTATTGTTGCATTTTAGTCAGAGACATGTATAAATATATTATTTTGCATGAAAGAGATTTCATCAAGAAGTCAAATTGCTCACTGTCTGGTTTCTTTTATGTTCATTCAACACGGATAACACGACTTACAGCCCAGAAGGGCCTGGAAAATTCCCTGTTCACAGTTGAATAAATCTGAAATCACAAACAATCAAAAAATTCACAATAGTTCACTGTAGCCTTAAGCAACAAGAATGCATTCTACATTATGGCTGGTTTCTTGCTCACAGCATTTGTCATCCTATAGTCAGGATTTCTCAATATGATGCTGCCAAAATACGTTGATGTTTCTAGGCATCCTGAGTGTCAAAGCTTGCCCAATTCTTGCTGTTTGCTGGGTCTTTAGTCTCAACATCTTCATTTATTGACTTTGCCTATCACCCTTGAATGTTTTGAAACTGTTCTGTATTCTGTTTGCTAGATTTCCTATTTTTATGAGGTTTCAAACCAGTCATGATATAAATGACTTTGCTTGTAACCTTCCCTTTTCCCCAAGGCAAAAGGCACTTCAATTTAAAAAATCTTTACCAAAGAACTGTATGAAATATCTTCTGGCATCCTGTAACCTGAAAATTTGGAATCTCCTTCACTGCTGCTGCTGATGTCACCAAATAAACCGCGAATAATAACTGAATGTCAGTGCTGATGCAACACAAAAAGGAATAAGATTGAACTCAAATATGCGGGTCATCAAAATAAAATGCATTTTAAAAAACCAGATCAAGTGGGCGTACTTCTCATTTATAGGTATGTGTGGTAAACTTTTTACTAGGATGCCTATTTCTGCTGGTGATGCAGACCTTCAAAAACAATTGAAAATATTTTTTTTGGGACTTTCCACTGCATTTAAAGTCAAACATATTAAAAAAGTCTGCATGTCATTTGTACCAGTACTAATAAATTAGATATGGATGTCAGCATGTTTATTTGGACATCAATTACAAAGGGGGTAGAAAATTAGGCTTATACGCAACACAGGGACTTTTTTGACATTTAATATTTTTTTTTATTTTTTTATCTCAAAGCAGTCAAAGGTGGTAAATTTTCACTGTACAAACTTCAACAATGAATCAAAGCATTGCATAAAATTGCACAAAAACTCCCTTATACAATGCACTGCACATTCATACAATAAAATATACATATTAGTTCCATGAACAACTACTCAAGTTTCAGACAAAATTTTAAAACAAAATTTGAAGAAATAAATTGGTGTAAAAACAACATGATTTCCAAGCATGAAAAAAGTGCAGAATTCCAAAAAAATTCCATTCATATCTCTTTCTTTATATCTATTAAAATGTCTATTTCTTACACAAACTGATGGATGTCTGTATTTCAAGTCATTAATTTGGTATATTCATTAGATTGAAATTCATCTGCAATGACAAGAAGTTATCCCTGAAAATTAGTAATTCATCTCCCCACAAGACATGCAATGCAAATATGGTGTCATTTCATATTTTGTCACCAGCAATCATGAGTTCTGCAAAAAAGTATTACAGAATGTCTGCTTTACCAGCAGAAATAAGCATCCTAAGTCCTTTAAAGTGAAAAGTTTGGCAAGCATACGTGACTAGGTACTCCACTCCATCTGTTATTTTTCTCAAATGCATTTCCTTTTGTTGTCTGGGTGTATTGGAGTTGAAAACTATTTATTGCTGTATTTTGTACATAGCCTGAATACCCCACTGGAAGACCCTGTACATCAGGGCTTTTTAACCTTTTTGAAGCAAGTACCCCAAGAGTGACTTGAAATGGAAGTTTAATTATATCATAAGCATAATCACATGGAACTTCCTTCTAACTACAGTACCTTAAACTCAAATTTCATGCAAGTTTCTGAGGTTTAGATAAAATATTTGAAAACACAGAAATTTGAAGCCTGTCAGAGTTGGGAATACAGTGTGCTGTTGTGTTTGGAACTATTTGAAATCTTGACATTTTTGTGTGTTCTGTAAAATTGCTGTCCTCCCAGCCCGGAGAGTTGTTGTACTGTACCAGGAATTATGCGTCTGATGAGGTACATTCATATGTTTGTTGTGGAAAAAAAATTGACGTATGGTAATCAACCTACACAAATGCATGCAAGTCGCATTTCATAATGCGTTTTATGTTAATTTATTTATTTGATGAATGCCTCAATTTACCAAGGAATTCACTTAAGAATTGTGTGTGCTTGTTAGACAATTTCAGGCAACTGAAACTTCAAATAGAAAATTTTCAATCAAAATCCGAGGAGCTGGGCAGTTTTTAGTGGTCACACAATTACTTTCCAAAAAGTCTTGATGAGAAAGTTATGTTTAAAAAAATACTGCATTTCTTTTATGCATTTTTGATCGCAAATGTAAGAATACCATTTTCTTCCTCAAATTTCATATTTCTTGAACCTAATTACTTCATGAAGAATAATTAAGAAACTTCAAGTAACCAAAAATGTTGACAGTTCAACTTAATCCTCTAGGAAGTATTTCATTGACAGAGCTGCGACGAAAGCGGGAAAGTTGGATCATTCCTATATGAAAAATTCCGCGTCCATTTGTTTCATTTTTTCGCGCAAAGATGCTTTTTCAAATGTTTAAATATTCAAAGCTGTTGGGAAACTGTACGCAAACAAGGAAGGCCACATTTTGAAGGAAATTCAAGCCTGAAATTTTGTGATAAGGAGCAACATGATCACCTGAGTAGGCGTTTCTGCGGGAAGGGGATGGAGCAAAATGCTGGCACAGCATTGCAACATTCTACATCAAGTGAGCTCGGCTTCCAGTTGTTTTTTTTTCTTTTTTTGGTACCCTTTCTTCTGGCCCAACTCAATTTGCCTTTAAAATAGAATTCGTGATTGTACTGTACGAGGCGTTTTGTTCAAAACTTGCAAGATTATTTCGATTTCAGATTTTCAGTCTTGAAATTTCCGAGTGGCAGAACTGCAGAAATTTTAATCTCAAGTGTAAGTTCCGTTACGGTGATCGATAACTTGAAGTCAGAAGGCATTGCAGCAATTTCTGTTTCGAAAAGCTTGAAGTAGTAAGTACAGTTCGATGTCTTATTCAAGACAAAACTGGGTAGTTACAAAATCCTTACGTACTTTTCTGTCCAATCCCGTCAAGACCAATACGATTTTCACATTCACTCAAAAAGTTTTGGCTCTCACCTCCCGTGATGGTCGAATTTTCCATTACCCATGTGCCAATATAAATTCTAGCACATTTGATGCATTCAGAACATTTGCCAATTTTTATTCCAACGCCTGCCACAGGGGATTTGCCAACTTCCCGCAGTTCGGACATCAAAGATTGTCATTGTCTCAAAAGTTATGCCATGGAAATAATTTCAAGTACTGTGTAATAATCAACCTACACCAGTTCAAGCCATATTCCATGAGTTTTTTTCTTTGAGTTTCACTTTAAATTTAGCTTATGAAAGATAAAAGTCTATGTGCAACTTTGATGCAAATTTTATGTGAAATTCTATGTTTTTTTTCATCCCAAGTGCGTCTATAAAAACGCGGGTTGCACAAAAATATTGATATCAACCAAAAACAATATGGTTCAGGTGAGTGTTCAGTGCCCATGATTCAGTTTTCTGAAAAAGCTCTTCTGATGTGGAGGATGCCTTTATTGTTTTTAAAGTGACAAATTTTACACTTTTTTTCATCACCTCATACTTTCTTTCGTGTTGAGTCTGCGCTGATTTTAATTGATACGGGAACATCCTTAATGTGTACTTTTGTCGATATGATTTTTCAGGTAGCAAGTTTCTGCGGAACATGTTCAAAGCTGTGGTGACCAACTTGGTTTTCCTCGCAACTTTCGTTGCCGTGAAGGGAAACGAGAAAACTTGGAGGGATTCTTCTCGTTTCGACGACGCGAATGCGTGGCAAAATGGAGTCTTCCCCGAACCCGGAGACACCGTGATTCTGCCATCTTGGGAAGCAGTGTTCTGGCCTCAAAACCTAGTCGTGAACGTGGACATCGTTTTCCCTTCCACGGGTGCAGTTGTGTTGACCCCGGGTTCATCCCAAGTTTTCTCCCTGGGATCTCATCCTTTGACAAGCAGCAGCAATAATGACCACAGAGTTCACAACGTCTCAAAAAGATTTCCCGCGAGGCAAAGACCGGAGCAAACAGATGACTGGTTTGATCCTAGGAATTGGGGTTACGGGTTTGAGTTTGAAGGAGCTGTTGCGGGATTGAATCCCGTGCCTGAGGCCAATAGGGTTCCTTGCACTGGTGACATGATCCGGTTTCCTGGGAATGCCACGTTTCGGGTGAATGTTTCCGAGGATGTGAGAGTGGGAGCTGTGAAACTTGGAGCTGGGGATCTTTTTGGGACAACTGATAAATTTTCTGACTACAGGTGAAGTGTTTTTCTGTGTTGTGTCAAGGTGAATATAGTCAATTTTACAAATTAAAATTATTGAAAATGAATGATTATAAGTTTATAGACATCATGTGAAAATATACAGTGAAATCTTGTTGAAACAAACTCACTGGGTCCTAGGAACAGATTTGTTAGTTCAGTATTAGAAAATTGTAGTACATTACAGTTGAACCTCACCAAGTCAAACCTCTCCAAGTTAAAATACCTCCCGAAGTCAAATTTTGTCTCAAGTCCATGTATGTATTCTCATCACAGAAACAATGCATTAAAAACCTCCATAACAAAGTATTTTTCTCTCAAACCTCTGTAAGTCAAATTTTCTGCGGCATTCTGGTTATTATTTCCTTGAAATATGAAAGAGAAAATCAACAAAAATTTGTTTGATGCATTTTGAAATGAAGTGAAAGACTAACTGAACAAATGAATCCCTGCCTATACAAGTTCAGCAAGCTATAATCTCATTAAGAAGCAGGTTTAGGACAAGAATATCCTCATCTTCAATTTCCCATTTTCCTCGCATCAAAAAATATTTGTTTCCTTTCCTCAAAACCTCCCTAAGTAAAATTTTTTTTCCTGGTCCCTAGAAATTTGACTTAGAGAGGTTCAACTGTAATTTTAACCATGAGTATAGAGTCTCATGGTTTTTAACAACTTTTAGAATGAAGTTCTCAGGGAAATTGGTAATGATTACTGTGAAGTGCTTCAGCAAAATATAATTCAAGGCTATCTAAATTCTTAAAATCCTGTGATGAAATGAAGTGGAACAATTTCAAGTACACTTCTATTACTGTATATTGGAATTGTTCTTCTAATAATGTGATTTTGTCTTGATATATTTAATAAAACGTATTTGTATCAGAAACACTTCCTTCTAAATTAACATTATACAGTACTGTATACAGGTGGTACCTCGCAATTTGACTGTCCCAAAACTTGATGGTCAAATCTTAAATGCTGCTAATTGACTCACAATTTACCCCTTGCCCCACAGTTCAACCTACTTTGGCCATTTTCGCATTGATATTTTTAATTTTGCAAAGTGTCTTGCAATTTGACCCTAGTTTGGCAACAGATTAGGATAAAATTGCAAGGTACCACCTGTACCAAACATACCACATTATGTTTCTTCTAACGTATTTTATTTAAAAGAAGGGGGTAAATTCTCAAAGGAGGAGCTGAAGAATTTCCAAGAAATATATCATGTTGCGTATTTTTTGGAACACTGAATCTTCTTCACAGAAAATTTATTCTTTTGAAGTATCAATCCTGCAACAATTTTTTTCATTATTCTGCCATCATCAAATTATCCCTTTGTGGCCCATGCACAGGATCGGGGTAAAATAATTGTTTGGTTTGAAATTATGCAAGCAAAAAAGTAACAGGCGATTTTTATAAGATGATTCCTGCAACCCAGAGAACGGAGTCATTATAATGATAGAAAAATCCATTACTGTATAACTAAATTTGTTGTGACGGAATTTTCTGCTGGATGTCAAAAACGGGATTTATTTGTAACCCAGGAACACGCCGCTGGGGTTGCTGCAAATTCAAGGCCCAGGAAAAATCTCACTGAAAACGTGCCGAGATCCCGTCAGCCAGCCAGAGTGCACGTGCCAAAACGCTCGCCCTGAAATTCTGCGAAAAATATGCCGTTACGTTCCTTCCTCGGTGTGTGAAGCCTACAGTCAATATTGCACGGATCCCGTGCGACCAGTCGGAAGTTGTTGTCCTGTTTGCGGATCTATTGTGACTGGAGCCCTGAGCATCACTGCAACTCAGAACTGGGACTTGACTCTGGAGAGGATCGAGAGGATCCGGAATGTGGAGCTCGCAAATGATGAGCATTTGAATGCGTTTTATGCAGTTACTCACGATAGAGCTCTTCAACTCGTCGTAGTTCATTCAGAGGGTGGGTTTCATGTGTCCTTGTTTTCTGCGCGATATTTACATTTGTTAACTCTTTCGGCCCTCTCAGCAGATACACTATAAATATAGGAGCGGGAACTTGATATGCAATGAAAATACAGTGAGACCCCTACCTTTACCTGCGGACAATTTAACATAGGAATACTTACTTTCTAATAAAAAATTAACAGAAAGGCCCAACATGAGGAAAATGACTCCACATAGGGACATTTTGTGATAGAATTGCAAATACCATATTTACTCATGCACCCCTAAGTAAGGCGCGCACAGGGGTTTTTCAGTTGGAAATTTGGCTAAAATCTTATCCCCAAGTACAACTCGCACCCCAATTTTTAGTAAATCTAAAATCACAAAATTTTGAAAATAGAGACAAAAAATTTGACTTCAGACATGAATTTTTTAAAAATCTGACCAATATTAAACTTTTTCAGTACAAAAATGTTTTCTTGTCACATTTTTTCCAAATTTCTCCATTATAATTAGGTATAATGAACATAGAACTTTCTAAAACTTCTTGAAAATTTGTACCCGCTTATGACACGCACTCCTTTTTTTCTTATGAAATTTGAGAAAAAAGGTGCGCGTGGTACTTGAGTAAATACATTAAATTCCAGGCCACATTAAAGAAACAGATATTCCCAACCCTAAAATTGATGTAAGAAAAATTATTGGGCATTTCTCTCACTAAACTACCTACAGCAGAGAGGGACTTCCTTCTCTCTTTTTCACTTGAATGTTATTTTTTTAACAGAGAATGCCAACATTTCTGTGTACTCCCTACAGAGATATCAGAATTAAATTCCCCAAATGTCCATATTGTGTTGAAATACATTGATTGGAATCAGATTAAATTGGGAGACAATTTTTATTTTCATGGAATTATGGCGAGTATTTAGTACATAAAACACCAATTAAAATCTATATTATGTTCTAATTCTAAGGGAAAATGAGACTCAACTTGGGGATATTTCGACACTCTTGATGCACCAATTACGTCCGCATCTCGGGGTCTCACTTTTGATTTGTGTTAGATGTGGTGATGGTAATTTTATGCGATACAATTTCTTTCTTTTTTTCAGGCGACATTCTAGCAGCTGAAACCTCAGCTCGTAACATTGAGACATTTCTCAGAATCGAAAGCCTGATTGAAGCCTCGCAAATATTCGCAGCTGAATTAACCGCGTCTTCGGGATCCGCGTCTTCAGCTTTGATCGGCGTTTTCGCATTTATTTTCATCATTGGGATCATCTTCGGATCCCTCGTGTGCGTCAAGAAAAGACGTTTGTTTCACTTGCCTCCTGTTGTAGAGCACTATGTTCCTGATGTAGACCTCGGGGACTGGATTGCTTCCGTCGAACGCCGATTTCATAGTTTGAGGACTCGCGAATTTGATACAGGCACAGTTTCTTGGGCCAAACTGAGAGATGGGGGCGGGTTGTTGGGTGCTGAAGAATTGCCAGATGATTCCGAAAGGGTGGGTGTTATTGGTGCTGTTGGAGGAAGAGAACCCGTGAGCGTTTCGAATCCCATTTTCGAAGCGGGATTCGTTGATGTGCCTGTTTCGGAAAATATTCCGCCGGATGCTGAATCGAGTTTGTCAAAAAAGTCGCCTGTTTCGTTTGATAAAGCTGCTGGTGACAGCAGCGAGGTAAATTTGTTTGACACTGATGTTCTGGTGCACGTCTCTGAAGAATAAATCATCAACCCATGGTTAACTTAACTTATGTGAAAAATAAAAAGCGTGTGTCATCCTTTTCCTTGAGACTTATTCCCTTGTCTTCATTATTTGTAAAATGCACTGTCAGCTGCATGCTGCTTATACCTAACCTTTTGTACAGAATTTCTATGAATTGAAATGAGGGTTCTTCACTGGTTCTCATTTCTATAGGAGGGTGATAATAAAAGCGAGTCAACCTCCCTTGTGAGTCAGTTAGCAGCGTCAACGATTTTGCCATCACATTTTTGGGATGGTCAAATTGCAGGAGGTCAAATTGCAAGGTACCACCTGTGTACAGTACTGTAATACATTAATGTGGAAGGAAGTGTTTCTCTTATAAATACGTTTCATCAAATATTTCAAGACAAAATCACATCATCAGAAGAACAATTCCAATATAATAGAAGTGTACTTGAAATTGTTCCACTTCATTTCATCACAGAACTTTAAGAATTGAGATAGCCTTAAATTATATGTTGCTGAAGCACTTCACAGTATTTATTACCAATTTCCCTCAGAACTTCAGTCTAAAATTTGTTAAAAACCATGAGACTCTATACTCATGGTTAGTACAATTACAGTTGAACCTCTCAAAGTCAAATTTCTAGGGACCAGGAAAAAAATTTGACTTAGGGAGGTTTTGAGCAAAGGATGAAACAAATATTTTTGCTGCAAGGAAAATGGGAAATTGGAGATGAGGATATTCTGGGCCTTAACTTGCTTCTTAAATGAGTTCACAGCATGCTGAACCTGAAGTATGGGTTTATTTGCCCAATTGCTCAGTCACTTATGTTCTCAACACATCAAGTGATTTGTTTTATTGCTTTTCTCCTTCATTTGTCAGCAAATAGTAGTCAACAGGCCTCAGAAAATTTGAGAGGAAACACCTTAGAGTTAGGGAGATTATTAATGCATTGATTCTAAGTGAATTCAGACCCAGACTTGAGAAAATATTGACTTAAGAAGGTATGAGGCTTGACTGTACTACAGTATGTTCAGTCACATAGTATGTACAGTACATAAATACCCAGCATTTTCTTATACAGTACAAGTGGAATACAACAAATCTCAAGGGAACAGCAAAAAATCTGATGTGGAAAACTAGTACTGTACTCCAAATTTTGCACAATATGGTAAGAAACAATTTTCTAATACTGTACACCAATGCTGAACTTGAAGTAGGGGTTTCTTTGCCCAATTGCTCCGTCACTTATTTTCATAACACATAAAGTGATTTGTTTTATTGCCTTTCTCCTTCATGTGTCAGAAAATAGTAGTCAACAGGCCTCAGGAAATTTGAGAGGAAAAGCCTTGGAGTTAGGGAGATTATTAATGCATTGATTCTATAAGGGAATGACTTGAGAAAATATTGACTTAAGGAGGTTTGAGGCTTGACTGTACTATGTTCAGTCACATAGTATACCCAGCATTTTCTTATACAGTGCAAGTGGACTACAAGAAATCTCAAGGGAACAGCAAAAAATCTGCTGTGGAAAACTAGTACTGTACTCCGAAATTTTGCGCAATATGTTAAGAAATGGTTTTCCAATACTATACACTCATTCGAAATTAGCAGTTCATCTGTCTTTTACCAAAGGTCATTTTCAAGTGCAGAATTCGTATTCCATTCGCAGCATTCATGCAAAGTTTCCGTTCGATTTAATATGAAATTACTGAAAAGTACATTTAAATGTTCCCTTGATTGAACTTATTAAAATTCGTGGAAAAATCGAGCGCTTATCGAAAACTTTTAGACAATACCTGTGATGGTTGTAAATTTGTCCAGCAGCTGGTGATACGAATTCAAATTTTTTCGTAGGACGAAGTCGAACCGACAAGTTATGAAGGTTCAAAAAAATATCAACTTCCAGCTATAATGAATGCTCAACGAGTTTGATTTTTATATTTTAAAAAGTTCTCACGGTCCTTCGATTTCATCGAGGACTGGAGCGTTCAAGTCAACTTGAACCTCGAGTAAACGAACTAATTGATCTCAAACAAAGATGACAAATGGCCAAAAAAAAGATGTATCTTCTGCCAAAAGGTGGGTTTCAAAAATAGGAGGACATTTTGCAAAGTGATGACTTGATGGTGTCAGATGTATATAACGACCAGACCACAAACATGAGATAGTAAATGGCTGTGGGAACCCGAGAATTCCCAAGTCAATTGTGGTATCATGGGTATAGTGGGATGGATGCCGTCTGACAGAAGCTACCGACACAGTTATTCCTTGCCCAGTGTCTGAATATAATACACCACACACTGCTGATTGATTATTTCAATCACAGGCCTAGGGTGTTTAATCAGAGGCAGTTGTTAAAGAAATCAAGTTTAGGGACTAAATTGGATCCACGAAATATTCGAAGCAATCATGAATCCCCGGGTCAGGTATCAAGGCCTGCTTCGCTGCATCTGGTGAATATATTTTGGCATCATCTGAATTCCTTCAACAAGTTGAAAAAAAATCCACGAATGAGTACTTGAACAGTACCGTTAGAAGTGCTTTTTTTCCTCCAGCAAAAATCTTATGGGATGGAGACACATTTATATAATTCTTGAACGTTAAAATTTCTCAATCCATCTTAGAATAATTTAATCAGAAATTTTTTATGCGATGCTATTGCAGGTTTGATTCCTTGCTCACAGTGAGACCCCCACATGCAGACACCTTGACCTGCGGACAATTCGACATAGGGACACTTATTTTCCCATTAAAAATAAATAAAAAAAGGCCCAACACCAGGACACTGATTTGACATTTGTTATAAAATTGCAAATACATTTCAGGCCAAATGCGGACGTAATTGGTGCATCAAGAGTGTCGAAATATCCCCAAGTTGAGTCTCATTTTCCCTTAGAATTAGAACATAATATAAAATTCAAATTCAAGTGGCCAACAATTTTTTTCAGGGAATTCTGAAGAATATTTCTCCCATTAAACACCAATCAAAAATTATATAATGTCAGTCTATGGGAAAACAAGACTCAACTTAGGGACACTATTGATACACCAATGATGTCCGCATCCTGGGGTCTCACTGTATTTTGAGGAAAGATAGCCAGCCTCAACTATAAAAGTGAATGATGAAGCGGAGGAACTGAATTTCCACGAATATTTTGCATAAGGACTTTTCTGTAAAAAGAATTTATCGACAGCGATATTCTAAAAAAATTAGGGTTTCTCGTTCCGGCAGATAAATTTTTTCTTAATGCTATATATATTCAGCTCCTCTTAAAATTAAAGATGTACGAGGGTTGGTTCATAAGTTTAGAGACTTTTTGAATCAGATTCAAGAGACGTTCAACAATTCAAAAGAAAAATTCTATTCGCCAAGTCCCAGCATTTGGCAACAATTCAGTGCTGTTAAACATACTCTCCACCGATTTTTATGCATTTTTCCTTGCGATGAATCCAACGATTAAAACCGTACCGAAAATGAAGTTCTGTTAGTTGATTAGGCACCCTGTTGATTCATTGCATGATAAAAAATAAAGCATAGAAATCGGTGGAGAAAATGTTCATCATAGCACTGAAGTGTTGCCAAATAGTGGGGTTTTGGGAGTGCAATACATTTTGAAATTGTTGAAACTCCGCTGGATCTTCTTTCGAAACGTCTCAAAATTTATGAACCAACCCTCGTACTTCTCAGTAAATACAGTATATATCGAATTATGCTTCGGCTCTATCGCTGATAATAATAACTGACCGAGTCTTCTAGTTTTCTTTTTTGAAATGTGTAATTCGTAGAACTTGAAAAACTGAAAGTATTTCACTATTTCAGCCTGAAAACATGTCGCCCAGGGATTGCCCTCTTCCTCATCGGTACATTGATCGTATCAGTCTTGTTTTTCATCACCGATCTGTCGTTCAACGTCGGATTTCCCCTGATGAGTGAAAAACCCGAGTCTTTCCTCCCTTGGCTACTTTCTTCTACAAAGACAACAAAGCAAAAGCCTGAACCCGAAGCTGCAAAAAATAGCGGAGGAGTTTCCGAAGATTTTCTCAGTTTACGGAGAATTTCCAACGACGTGTCTGTTGCTTGTCGACACTTTGAAATCCCAGTTTGGCCGAAAAACAGAGAATGGCATCGACGTGAAACCATGGAAAGATTTTTCGATTGTAAAAATAACGCCTCTCATCAGCCGTGGGTCGTGATGGAAAAAGGAGGAGTGGCCCGTATCCTGCAGCCTGGAAATGTTGCTTGCAATTTTACAGGTTAGATTTCTTGAAAATGGGACAATCCTTCCTTCAATTTTCTCGCCAAAATGTGTGTTAAAAATCACAAAAATGACAATACCTTTTCTCATATTGAGAAAGAAATACAGTTGAGCCTCTTCAAGTTGAATTTCTAGGGACCAGGAAAAAAACTTGACATAGGGAGGTTTTGAGTCAAGGAAACAATCAATTTTGCTGCAAGGATACGTGATAACAAATTTGTAGGAAATTGTATATAAGGATAATCTGGGTCTAAACTTGCTTCTTAATGAGTTTACTGCTTCCTAAACTTGAATGTAGGGGTTCATTTGTTTAATTGGTTTTCTCTTTCAAAACTGAAATAGTAAACAAAAGGCCTCAGAAAATTTGACTAACGCATGTTTGAGAGAAGAAGAATTTGACTCAAAGAGGTTTTTAATGCGTTGTTTCTAAGGGAATTCCAAGGGGGACAAAAAAAAAGGTCAAGCTAGAGAGGTTTTCAACTAACAGAGGTTGGACTTACAGAGGTTCAACTGTAATCGTATGTTATCTATATCAGTGTACTGTTCCCCAACCTTTTTGGGCCTGTAGTCTGGCAATTTTCCAGAAATTTTTTTTGCAGACTGGCAAATGTTCAAAACGTTTTCTGCAGACCAGGAAATAAGTTTCATGAAATTTTTGCAGACTCACCAAAGTTTTCCAGGAATGTTATTTGGCAGGTAGTCAAAAGAAAAATTCAGTTAGGAATTTAATCAAACAATTAGAAAGGTGGGCTTGGAGAAGGGTTTGTCAGAAAGAAAATTTGAAATAATTCATATCAGCAAGTGAAAATTTGCCTGAAGTATTATCAGGAGAAGAGGTAACTTTTGTTTACATCAGATAATTCAGCTGCCATTGTCCTTACAAAACTTTAGGTACAGAGAACAGATCCGATCCAGACTTCTGATTTTTAATCTAAAAAAAAAACTCCCATAGCCTTAGAACATCATGGGTTATTTCATGAATTTTTCTTTGAAATAACACCCGCTTTGTAAGTATCAAGGTTTGCGTTGAGCTGGGACAACCCTTGTATTGTCCATTCATATTCTGGTTTGAAGTAAACTTATCTGGAAGACATTCCTTGATGGAATTGGTCTGAGATTCCCTGTTGAAAATCTTAAAATCAAGTATGATGATAAATTCTTCATGCTGTGAAAATTTCCCACGACCAGACAAAAAACTTCTGCGGACCAGTGCCAGTCTGTCGACCATGGGTTGGGGAACACTTATCTACATGTATGGGGTTTTAAAATTTAAAAAATAAACTTGTAAAAGTGACATTCATAGACGATTGTCGCTTTACTTTTCCAGAGATCGTTTTTGAAACAGATTATGAATTTCTCAATACGTCTTCTGAAAGCCCGTCGGAATACTACGAACTCGTTCATAGTGACACGGTGAAAGTCCAGTGCAAAAATACCAACAATGACACGTAAGTTACCTTCGTATTCACATTCAATCCATGCAGGCATTTTTCAAATTTTCAGAACATGAATTCAATTTGCAAAGTCCAGCAATCAAAATATCATCGTTCGATGAGCAAAGACAATTTTGATTTATTCATTTTACAATTTCGCGCTGCTGCACCAAGAAGAACTTGCCTATAACAAGGAGATAGTGAGACCCCCACATGCGGACACATCGACCTGCAGACAATTCAACATAGGGACACTTATTTTCCCAGAAAAAATTAATAAAAAATGACTGACACTGACTTCACATAGGAAACTTTTGTGATAAAATTGCAAATATATTTCAGGCCAAATTACAAGAAACAGACATTTCCAACCATGAAATTGATGTAAGAAAAGATCTTGAGGATTTCTCTCACCAATTTACCATCCATTTAGCTGATTTTTAAAAATTACCTCCTTCATAGAGGGACTTCTACTTTTCATTCACTTGAATATTATTTTTGTAGATGCCAACATTTCAATGTACAGTACAGAGACACACTATTCAATGCTCCAAATGTTCTTATTGAGTTGAAAATTTATTCACAAATTCAAATTCAAGTGGCAAAAAAATTTTCCAGGGAATTCTGAAGAATATTTCTCCCATAAAACACCAACTAAAAATTACATAGTGTAAGTCTATGGGAAAACAAGACTCAATTTAGGCACAATTCAACTTAGGGACACTCTTGAAGCACCAATTATGTCCGCATTTCGGGGTCTCACTATCTTCCAGTTTTACTGTTCTTACTCAGTACGTTTATGCAGTTGGTCAGATGTTTTGCTCGGGGTGCGGAAGAACGAACGAACTTCTGAGATTCCAGAAGAATTGAAAATGACCAGCAACCATTCCCCAGTCAAGAACGTAATCGTTTGGATGTTTGACGCCATTTCACGAAACGCCTTCACCCGAAATTTACCAAAAACGTGGGCATTCATGGAAAAAGAAGCAAACGGCGTGCTTTTCAAGGGATTCAATGTCCACGGATTCAACAGCATGCCGAATATAATTCCGTTTTGGACAGGTTCAACTTTCATTTCTGACAGCATGAAAATAAAAAAGAAAACCATATGCAGAAATAATTGGTAAAACTCGAATTTTATTCAGGAAAGTTACTGAGCGAATGGCTTCCCAAACATGGAGAGACAGAAGTTGAAAACTTGCACGAGCGGCTAGTGATTCTTGACAAATTCGGAAAAGCCGGCTTCGTCACTGCTTATTACGAAGATTCGCAGTACAACAGTGGCTACGATTCATACCTGATCAAAGATGCTGGGCTTCGAGGATTCAAAAAGCCCCCGGCTCATTATTATTCCCGAGTTTTCATGAAATCCAGGTACAAATTAAAAAAGGACCCAGGACCTCTGTGCATCGGGAACAAGTCTTCAAACATGGTGAGAGCAATATTAACTGATGTACAGTAACTATAATATAAAAAATGAAAAGATTTCATTTAACCATCAGACAAGGCAAGAAAATATTTCCCCCTCATTTTCCATCGCAATTGTTGGCAAGGTTTAATGCAAGAAGTGTTATTACACTTCAATCAAGTGTTGATGTGTCAATTAAGTGTTGTTAAGTGTTGATACATCTTTCACATCTTTTTGGTACAGAAGTTAATCCTGCTGCTTGGATATTGATCATCAGGGATTTTAAAAATAATTTTATTGAATAATTAGTTTAAAAATACAGTAAAATCTTGCTGCAACAAATACTGTTACAACAAACTGTTCAGTATAACGAATTTTTTTCAAATTCTTGGCAGAAATGCTGTAGGGTACATGTTATAAAAATCTTGTAATAACTAAGTCACCAATTCCATCACAAAAAACTTTTAAAGGAGCAGTTTCTGTCATCTTCATAGAAAACCCCTAATCAAGGCAGGTACAGTCTCAAATTTCACATTCAAAATGTGACTGCTTCTTGGGACATGAGGTGGAATCAAATTATTCAAAATCCACCTGAACAATTTCTCTTTTAAAATTTTTCCCTGGGGTAGGGGGGGGGGGATGAAAAAATGAACCCAAACAAACTCATATTAAAAAGGGCTTGTATGCTTGAGAAACCATAAAAAGAAATTGTAAGTTTTTTTTGAACATCAACCATTACAAATCTGTACAAGAATTGCTTGGGAAAACTCAAAGTCAACAGAAAGTGCTGGTGCTGACCAGGTACCCAGTCAGCTGCCAGTTGGTCAAACCATGGTCACATCACACAAGCCAGCTGGTAAATGCTGGTTGGTCCAACCACCAGCCAGGGCAGTCCTTGGTCTTGCCAATCCCCAGCCCACTGAACTGTGGTATGGTCACCCAATCCTTAGGGTGTTGGGCACCAAAGCAAGAGGGTGACTAGAATTGTGTTGATTCTAAAATCCTGGTTGCAGTGACTTTCCAGGCTTTGGTGAGCAGAATGGTTTCCTGCCACAGATCATTTTTGTATAAAATTTCATTTCATAAAAATTTTCACAAAAAGAAAGAACTCATCAAACCCAACCTAAAATAACCTAAACCAAACTAACCTAACATAACCTGACCTAACCTCACCTAAAATTACTGAAATTTTGCAAAAACAAAATAATCTGTGGCAGGAAACCATTCTGCTTACCAAAACCTAGAAATTCACTGCAACCAGGATTTTAGAATCAACACAATTCTAGTCACCCTATTGCTGTGGTGACCCAAAACACCAAGAATTGGGTGACCATACCACAGTTTGGTGGGCTGGGGATTGGCAAGACCAAGGACTGCCCTGGCTGGTGGTTGGACCAACCAGCATTTACCAGTTGGCTTGTGTGATGTGCCCATGGTTTGACCAACTGGCAGCTGACCAGACATGGTTGACCAGTTATTCAAAGCAAATGCTTGTTATTAGAATTCAAAATTCTTTTTGAAGATCACAGTTTTTTAAAATGACCAAACATCTGAAAAAAGGTCACAGAAAGAACATATATTTAATGTATACTGCAGTTATAATTTTTAGAAAATTAGCCATTTAGCAGGAAATCTCATTATAATAAATAATTTGTTACAACAAACTTTTTCTGGAGTCCCAACAAGTTTGTTGTACCAAGATTTTACTGAATTATAATCAAGTTTGCTTTTGTTCATTTTTCCAGCATGCCCAAGATTACATCAAAGAGCTTTGGGAACTGCACGAAAACGAGAGGAAATTCTTCTTCATCAACCAAGTTTCCTATACACACGACTCGTTGACTGATGTTAGGATGATCGACGAGGAAGTCAGAGATTTTCTCAAACACTGGCTGAGCTCGATTCGCAATGACACCTTAGTGATAGTCATGTCCGACCACGGAAATCACTTGTTCAAGGCCATTAATCTCAGGACAGTTGAGGGATACTTTGAGCAGAAAATGCCATTGGTTTACTTCATGCCTCCATTTTGGATGAACTCCGTTTACCCCGACAAAATGTCCGCCCTCAAGACAAATGCTGCGGCTCGACTCACCACGCACATGGATTTGCACGAGACGTTTTTGCACCTGCTGAATTTCAGCGAGGAAAGAAAGCCGGCAAAGTTTGGTCAAAGTCTATTTGCGGAAATTCCGAAATCCAGGACGTGTTCTGATGTAGGCATCCAGCCAGGGTAATATTAACTTGAATAGTTTTACACTAATAGTACGCATGTTTACATTATTGCTTTCCATGGATGCAATATAAATTTCTAGTCCCGTAACCCAATACCTCTCATGTGGAGTTTGCAAATTTGAAAAAAAAAATAGAGCCCTCTGAGTTTCGTTAATTGAAGAAATATGCTAGTTGTACAGTATATTGAGGATAAATTTTCGTAACGAATTCAATTTCAACACAATATTTGTAAGAAGAGGCATGAATGAGATACATTTATATGACAGACAACTCCCGCACAACAGACTTCCTCTGGAGGCGATTTTCTCTCCTGCGCAACAGACTTCTGTTGGTTCAAAAATTTAAGGTAAAAATTAAAAATTTGAATTTATAAATACAGGTGAACCTCGATAACTTGAACCTCCCCAAGTCAAAAGCTTTTCCCCTCAAACCTCCATAAGTCGAATTTTTTGTGGCCTTTCGACCATTATTTTCTTGAAAAAAGAAATAAAAAAACCAAAAAACCCATAAATTTATGTGTTTTAAAGGAAGTGAAAGACTTAATTGGACAAATGAACCCCTGCCTTCAAGTTCAGCAGCCTTTTAAATCATTTAAGAGGTCATTTAAGCCCCAGAATATTACCATTTACTTTTTTTAAGTTTCCCAGAAAATGGGGCCTTTTATTGTAGTACTGTACTTCCAACGTATACAAGTCAAAACCTCTCCAAGTCGAATTTTTTTCAGTTCCCTTGAAATTCGACTTAGAGAGAGGTTCAACTTTAACTGAATTTGCATAACAAACTTTTGACACAACAGACTAGTCTGTTGCACAAATCAAGTTTGTTGTGCGGGGGTTGACTGTAACTAAAAGATGGTTTATAGTCTACTGTTTCAACTTGGCCCTTTCCCACTTATGGGTTGGGCACCACTGGTTTAAACGTACAGCATATGAGTAAACAGTACTACAGCACAGGTATTCACAGACAAGAAGTTGAAACTATCCAAATACTGTACTGATGGATATACTGTACTTTATAAGGTAAAACTGCATTGTTCTTCATGCATTATAGACGGGTCTTTCAAGTGCATTGTTTGCATAAAAATTAAAGGACGATATTTTATCTTCCTCTTCATATACGCTTCTCAATCGGATACCGCTGACTTCATTCCTTCATATTTGCGCCATAGGTTTTGTGCGTGCAATTCACCAAAACCTATTGATGTTCAAGTCTCTGAGGTCAAGAAATGGGGAGAAATGGTGTTTGAAATGATCAATCAAAAATTGCACAAAGCTCTGCTTCAATTGCCAAAAATAAGCAGGAAAAGTGAAAATTCGACGGAAAATTCAACAGCAGACTTCTTAGCCCCAACTGATGTCTGCATCGAATGGTCACTGGTAGAAGTGAATCAGGCTTGGCTCATTACAAAAGGGCGT